TATATATATATATATATATATATATATATATATATATATGTGACTGAGTTTTCAGGCTCAAGAAGATGGGTTGGATCTTGCACGCATGCACACACACACCTCCATGCTCGACTGACTGATAAGATGGTCCATAGGCCTCTGGAAAGAACATAGTGGGGCGGTTTCCCGGACAGGGTTTAAATTAAATCAAGAGTAGGCTTAATCTAGATTAGTTCATCTTTGTTTAAAAAATTACGTTCTGAAACAGATTAAGTACAGATTACGAACTCCTGTTGCCTGTAGCACGAAGCCGGTTTCAGTTTTTACCCAGGTAAGTTCACATTTAGTTTGAGCAAACTCTGAGTTTTCAGGCTCAAGAAGATTGGGCTGGTTTTGAGTGGGTTTCGTCACCATGGTAATTTACGCTACACAGCTACCCTGCTCCGGAGCAGGTTTTATTCTGGGTTAGAGATCACAAACCCAAACTGGACAAATCAGCTGTGAGCAAAGTGACATATGTTTCTGATGCAATGAAGCCACTCCCCCATATCTCTCGCTCCAAATTAAAGCAGTTTACAGTCAAAGAATTTTAGAGACAAAACTGCCCGACTTTTGCAGCTACTAATATATTTTAGCCTATTTATATTATAGTAATTGTAATTGTTTACACAGATGTCACAAGTTTTGAGGGAGTGACATCTGTGTAAACAATTACAATTGTAATTTACACAATTGGTATGCTGACTGCAGGAATGTCCACCAGAGCTATTGCCCATGAATCGAATGTTCATTTCTCGACCATAAGCAGTCTCCAAAGGCGTTTCAGAGAATTTGGCAGTACATCCAACCACACTTGTATCTGTTTGTGAACTGGTTTGGTGACTTTAACAAGTGGTCTGTATGCAGGCATTAGCATGACAGTGATGTGGTCTGAGGCACCGAGGTGGGGGAGGGGGAGGGCCTTGTAAGCTCCTCTCTGGGTGGTGTAAACAAAGTCTAAAATGTTGTTTCCTCGAGTTGGAAAGTCTGTGTGTTGGTTTATTTTTGGGAACACACTCTAAGTCTGCGTGGTTGAAATCCCCAGCCAAGATGAGAAAAGCATCAGGGTGGGCTGTCTGCTACTCACTGATGTGCTGGTACAGTTAATTTAGTGCCTCGCTCCTGTTGCTGTTGTTGGAGCTGGGAGGGATGTATACAGCAACGAGCAGTATGGCTGTATATTCCCTCGGTAGATAGAACGGCCGGCACTTAATAATCATAAACTCCACCAGGGATGAGCAGTATTTGCAGACCACAACAGCATCGCGGCACCACGCATCATTGATGTAAACACAAAGCCCTCCGCCGCGGGTCTTACCTCCCTCGACGCGAGCTCTGTCCGCTCGATAGCATGTCAGCTGATCGAGATGAATAGCGCAGTCCGGAACGCTGTTGTTGAGCCATGTTTCCGTGAACACAAAAACACAACAGTCTCTTACAGTCCTCTGAGTTGAGCGTAGTAGTCGGATGTAGTCCAGTTTATTGTCCAAAGAGCGTACGTTAGCCAGTACGATGGTGGGGATAGCTGGATTGTGTGGGTTAGCCGCTAGCCTAGCCCGGCACAGCCATTGAAGAGGAGTGGACCAACATTCCACAGGCCACAATCAACAACCGGATCAACTCTATGCGAAGGAGATGTGTTGCACTGCATGAGGCAAATGGTGGACACACCAGATACTGATTGGTTTTCGGACCCCCCCGGACCCCCCAATAGAGTAAAACTGCACATTTTAGAGTGGCCTTTTATTGTGGCCAGCCTAAGGCACACCTGTGCAATAATCATGCTGTCTAATCAGCATCTTGATATGCCACACCTATGAGGTGGATGGATTATCTCGGCAAAGGAGAAGTGCTCACTAACACAGATTTAGACAGATTTGTGAACAATATTTGAGAGAAATAGGCCTTTTGTGTACATAGAAAAAGTCTTAGATCTTTGAGTTCAGCTCATGAAAAATGGGGGCAAAAACAAAAGTGTTGCGTTTATAATTTTGTTCAGTGTATATAAATATCTCAGTGGTGTGCGGTGGTGTTCTGAAATGAGGCAATTTTTTTTAATCAAATTTAAATTCATGTCAGAGTCACATTTTCTTGGTTAAGTAAACATTGCACTTAGGCATCAGTAAAAAGGGGGAAAAAATTATATTTTATATTTTTACATTAACAATGTAATGAATATTCTATTTATTAAAGCCATGTATGAATCTCATCAAGTTAGTGTTTTTAAGCATTTTACATTTATTCCTAAATAATAACTTAATATATTTTATTTGTGAACTTATGTTCAGCTATTCTTTTTAATAATTAACTTTTAACTATGTTTTAATTTTTTGGATCATCAGTCATCAAAGCTCGGTATATATAATATATAAAGCTCACAGACAAGGAGATTTACTTCAGATTTAACCAAGCTGATTACTCACTAAAAACTCCCACAGATCAAGTTTTCAGCCCATTTTGTGTCTTATTTTCACATAACAACGTGGTTATATCTAAGTGTGAGAATTGTTTGTTTACTTTTTTAAATTCTCCATTAACACCATTATATTGTTCATTCAGTCTGATTCGCAAACACGGAATGCGCAGAAACACAAGAGATTTATGGCATGAACCAATCACAGCCGAACATAACCAGTCACACCTATAAGGCCCTTAATGGGTTAGCTCCTGCGTACCCAATTAGTCTTCTACCACGCAACAATCCATCATGCTCCCTAAGGTCGCAAAACTCTGGACTTTTGGTAGTACCTAGGATAGCAAAGTCCACTAAAGGAGGTAGAGCATTTATCTCCCAAACTCTGGAATAGCCTTCCTGATAACGTTCGGGGTTCAGACACATTCTCTCTGTTTAAATCTAGATTAAAGACACATCTCTTTGGCCAAGCATTCAAATAATGCATCTCATAATCTTGTACTGCAGTTATATCTGATCAAATGTGCATTATAATTCTTTAGCTTGGGTTAAACAAATCAATTTTGCTTGGTTGGAACAGCAGCTACGCTAATTATGTCTCTATTTGTTTCTCCGTTTTTGACATTTGACATCCAGTAGTAACTAGGATTTACACAAGCTTCAGTCTGGATCCAGAACAGAGAAGAGATGATGCCAACCCCTCAAAGGACCTCAGATGATGCCAACCATGAAACAACATACAGAACCACCAAATTTTGCTATAAGTTTTTCAATAAGTTATAAGTTTCAATATTTGCGTTGTTTTATTTCTGTAATATCAATCATTTTCTCATTCAATTTTTTGAGGAGACACTGCCTCCCTTGCCTCCGTGGAGGAAATGCCCCTGATATATCTATATATCTATAATTTAAATAAGCTTGAAATTAATTTCCACTTCATATAATAATTCTATTCTAGATTAAGCCTACTCTTGACTTAATTTAAACCCTGTCCGGGAAACCACCCACTATGTTCTTTCCAGAGACCTATGCACCATCTTATCAGTGAGTCGAGCGTGGAGGTGTGTGTGTGTATGCGTCAGATAGCCCACCATTACTGCCATTTAGCTCCAATGTGAGAGAGCGAAAGAGATGTGAGAGGAGCTCTAAGCAAGATTTCATTTTCCAGCTTTAACTAAGTACATTTTTGTAAACCTTTCATTCAGAGAATAGTCATCAAAATAAAAATAAACGACATGTATCCATTTCTTTATTGATTAATTTATTCATTAAGCTAAACATTTCTTATTTCTTTAATTTAATTGTGTGTGTATATACATATATATACAAAATCGTGACCATATATATATATATATATATATATATATATATATAATAGGGCTGGTAAGCAATTAAAATGTTTTATCTAATTACATGACGTGGAGATTAATTAATCTAATTAACTGCAAATTAATTGCACATCAAATTTGGCTAAGAAATTACTCCCAAAAGATAGTTTAAAGTCATTGTGTAAAGCATCAAACAGACATTACAAAAAGCAGCTTCAGCAAGAAATATTTTGTTTGATAAAATTGTATATTTGCATAAGTAAATTATTCTCATTCATTCCCACTGGCAAAATAGTTCATTTGTTTCAGGCATAAATACATTTATGCAATTCTGACAACAGGAGGAGTTGACATTACGGTGCTTGTCTGCATACAACACCACCAACAGCATATCTGTGTGTGCAGCAGTGGTTATATAGTAGTGTTATCAGACTTACTGAAACGGGGCGAAGGACCATTTGACCACCTAACAAGTCTGGCAGTGTCTGTCATTATACTGTCTGTCTATAATGCTAATCATTGGGAATCATTGTGGATAATGATTCATGATTCATAATTTTAAGTGCTCAACTCCATTTTCAAGAGTGGCATAATATTCAACAATTTTCTAAATGTGTATGATTATTTTTTTTATTTTATTATTTTTTATTTCATTACTTAGCTCACACTAATAAAAGTTTGCATGTGCACAGTAGCTGCACATGGAGAACACATTTATGCCATTTCTTTTATTTTTATAAAATCAAATGTGCATTTGAGAAATCGTGCACACAAATTTCAAAGACCATATAGGACATTCAATATGCAACATTTATAAATTATGCTACTGATGTATAATTCAAGGTCCAAATTTCAAATAGTCCATAAACAAATTTCTGACAAGAAAAATGTCAACAAAAACATCCAACATCACACTGCTCATAGAATTTCCTTTGAAGACATTACCACAACAAAACACATTAGCATTAGTCATTGAAAAAGTGACCCTGTGCCAGTGAAACCAAAGATGTATTTGCTGCAGATTGAGTCAAGCATGCCCGTCCTCTATGCTGGTGCTATTACTCCAAACCCAGAATGTAATTGATGCCTTGTACCAGTCCAATGATAATAGGCTGCCAGGCCACAAGGTAGCGCAGCCAGTCCAGTAGCTGTCCGTACATCACATGGGGTCTCTCCCATCTAAGGACGGAGTTAAGGTGCTAAATTATTTATATTTATAAAAAAGAAAAAGAAAAAACTGAACCAAGATTGTTTCACAATGTGAGAAAGAAAAACATGCAGGTTGTAACACTTTAGTAGTCATGTTTTGTATTTGTTAGTGTTTGTATTAATATTATTTTTCCTTTTATCAATTAAGCATGTCAGCACATAGAACCCCATAGAAAATGTCCAAAAGTGATCCAAATCAGTGAGTGTCACCACTTTTACCTAATTTGAAAATTCTTAAACAGAATGATTTTTTTCCCCCACAAAATTTGACACCCTAAACCTCACTTTTAACCGTGGGAAAAATTTTTTTAAACTGTGCAGGATTAACTGTTAACCCCTTTTAACAGTATTAGGGAGAAAAGTTAAACAAGATAACCCAGAAAAAGCCTTAGTTACCTTTTGATACTTCATTCATACTGCATCGCTAGACGCTATGGGAAAAACATACTCGGTTACTTACGTAACCTCAGTTCCCTGAGATACGGGAATGAGTACTGCGTCGCTAGACGCTATGGGGAAAACTCCTTTTTCTCCGAGGACTGAAGCCTTTACAATCACGCAGTGTAACTGCATGGCCATTAGTTCATGCAGTAAATTAAAAACGAAAAGCAGCTTCGCTCGTGCTTCTGATGAGTTTGGGCTGACCATCAGCCTAAAGAAAACAAACGTCATGGGCCAGGATGTCAGCAGTACTCCCTGCATCTCCATCGGTGATCACACCCTCAAGGTAGTGGAGGACTTTACATATCTTGGCTCCACCATCTCCAGCAACCTCTCTTTGGATAACGAGCTGAACACCAGAATCGGCAAGGCATCAATAGCGATGGCCCGCCTGACCAAGAGTGTGGAACAATAGAATGCTCACCACCAACACCAAGATGAAAGTGTACCAGGCCAATGTCCTCAGTACTCTTCTCTACGGCAGTGAGACATGGACTATGTACAGCTGGCAAGAACGCAGACTCAACTCTTTCCACCTGCGCTGCCTGAGGAGGATCCTGGGCATCACCTGGCAGGACCATGTCCCAAACACTGAAGTGCTGGCCCAGGCAAAAACATTCAGCATGCACACACTCCTTTCACAAAGACGCCTATGCTGGCTCGGCCATGTCTTCCGAATGCAGGATGGCCGGATTCCTAAGGACATCATGTACGGCGAGCTCGCCTCCAGCACCAGACCAACAGGTAGACCAGTGCTCCGGTACAAAGACTTCTGCAAGCGTGACCTGAAAGCCGGAAACCTGAATCCTGCAGACTTGGAAGCTGCTACCGTAGACTGTGTCGGCTGGCGGCTCGCCGTAAGTACCAGCACAAAGCTGAGTGAGGGAAAGAGAGAGGACCAGTGGGAGGAGAAAAGGCAGCACAGACGGCAGAGAGCAGAGTCAGTGCCCACAGAAGTAGTCTCAGGCTTCACCAATAGTAACTGCAACAGACTCTGCCGCTCGCGTATTGGACTGTTTAGCCACAGCAGGCACTGCAATTCCACAACAGACTGACCCGGGCAAAGATACTCTATTGTCTCTCGAGACAGAAGGATGCTGATCAGACTGTAGTGGCTCAAAGAGGGAGCCCTTAATGGCTATCAGGACCGTGGGCAGGTCCCACGTAGAGACTGTGGGGGACCAGGGCGGATTGAGCCTCCTGGATCCCCTCAGGAAATGAACAACTAAGTTGTTCCGGCCCACAGACTGTCTGGCTATAGGAGCATGGGAAGCTGCTATAGCTGCCACATAGACTTTGAGCATGGCAGGGGAGCGGCCCCTGCCTAACAGCTCTTGTAGATACGACAATATCACCGATATGTCACATGAAGCTGGGTCTTTGCCATGGGTTGTGCACCAGGCAGAAAAGACAGACCATTTAAATGCATAGAGGCATCTTGTACACGGGGCTCTGGCCTCTGAAATACTATTCAGGACGCTCTCAGGGAGATCTACTGACTCCCGTTGAGAGCCCAGAGGTGCAGAACCCACAGCTCGGACTGGGGGTGCCAAATCGACCTGTTTGCCTGAGAGAGAAGGTCCTGCCTCAGGGGAATGGGCTACGGGGTTGCTATCAGCAGCTGAGACAGCTCTGAAACCCAAAGCTGGTTCCCTCCAGAGCGGGGCCACCAGAAGGACCCTGTGTCTGTGTTCCCTGACTCGCCTGATTACCCGAGGGATCAGAACGATCAGGGGAAAAGCATACAGGAGGAGGTTGGGCCAATCGTGGGCCAACACATCCTCGCTCTTTGAAAAATAAGTTGGGCAGCGAGAGTTGTCTTTTGATGCAAAGAGGTCGACCTCTGCCCTGCCAAAGATCTCCCCGATTCTCTGAACTGTTTGTGGGTGGAGCATCCGCTCCTCTGAGGGGACGTTGCGCCGAGATAGCATGTCTTCTACTTGGCTCAATACGCCGGACACATGTGCTGCCCTCAATGAATGCAGGTTGGGATGTGCCCACTCTAAGAGTTTTACCATCTCGAAAAGTTTTACCATCTCAAAAAGGCGTTTCGAGGTGAGCTTGCCATGGCGATTTATATAAGATACCACTGTCATGCTGTCTGGCGGACTCGCATGTAGTGTCCCTTCAGATCCGGGAAGAATGTCTGAAGGGCTAGACATACTGCCGTCATACTGAGGCAGTTGATGTGTAGCCGACTTTCTGCATCCGACCAGGAGCCGGTCGGTCTGCCCTCGCACAAAGCTCCCCAACCTGTGTTGGATGCATCTGTTGAGACAACCTTCCTTTTGTGAATCATGTCCATAGTCACGCCCTGCTTGAACCACTGTGGGTCTTTCCAAGGGGCCAGAGCTCAGGCCTGGCTCACCCTGACATGCATGCGTCCGTGATGACATGCATGGGGCAGAATTTGTGGTTTCAGCCAGTACAGAAGGGGTCTCATGCGGAGCAGGCCCAGCTGTAGTACCGGCGATGGAGGGGCCATGAGGCATAGCATCTTTTGAAACGTTTTGAGGGAGCGAGAGGCTCCGATTTTGAAAGAAGCTGTGAGCTGTTGTATGGCCAATGCACATTCTGGTGTGACTACTGCCTTCATGTGGACTCATGTGGAGTCGAAAACTGCTCCAAGGAATGAAGTTCGTTGGCTGGGAGACAGTGAGCTCTTTGCAAAACTGACCCTGAGTCCCAGGCACTCTAAGTGGCTGAGGAGGAGGGACCTGTGGGATATTAGCTCGGCCTCTGACTGGGCTAAGATGAGCCAGTCATCGAGGTATTTCAGAATGCGGACTCCCATCTGTCTCAAAAAGTAAAGTAAAGTGCGAGGAGCCAGGGACAGTCCGAAGGGCAGGACCGTGTATTTATATGCCAGTTTCTTGAAGGCGAATCTCAGAAAAACAGGTGCATCTCAATAAATTAGAATGTCGTGGAAAAGTTAATTTATTTCAGTAATTCAACTCAAATTGTGAAACTCGTGTATTAAATAAATTCAATGCACACAGACTGAAGTAGTTTAAGTCTTTGGTTATTTTAATTGTGATGATTTTGGCTCACATTTAACAAAAACCCACCAATTCACCATCTCAACAAATTAGAATATGGTGACATGCCAATCAACTCAAAACACCTGCAAAGGTTATCTGAGCCTTCAAAATGGTCTCTCAGTTTGGTTCACTAGGCTACACAATCATGGGGAAGACTGCTGATCTGACAGTTGTCCAGAAGACAATCATTGACACCCTTCACAAGGAGGGTAAGCCACAAATATTAATTGGCAAAGATGCTGGCTGTTCACAGAGTGCTGTATCCAAGCATGTTAACAGAAAGTTGAGTGGAAGGAAAAAGTGTGGAAGAACAACGTCAGCGGCGTCTTGCCTGGGCTAAGGAGAAGAAGAACTGGACTGTTGCCAGTGGTCCAAAGTCCTCTTTTCAGATTAGAGCAAGTTTTGTATTTCATTTGGAAACCAAGGTCCTAGAGTCTGGAGGAAGGGTGGAGAAGCTCATAGCCCAAGTTGCTTGAAGTCCAGTGTTAAGTTTCCACAGTCTGTGATGATTTGGGGTGCAATGTCATCTGCTGGTGTTGGTCCATTGTGTTTTTTGAAAACCAACGTCACTGCACCCGTTTACCAAAAAATTATGGAGTACTTCATGATTCCTTCTGCTGACCAGCTTTTTGAAGATGCTGATTTCATTTTCCAGCAGGATTTGGCACCTGCCCACACTGCCAAAAGCACCAAAAGTTGGTTAAATGACTATGGTGTTGGTGTGCTTGACTGGCCAGCAAACTCACCAGACCTGAACCCCATAGAGAATCTATGGGGTATTGTCAAGTGGAAAATGAGAAACAAGAGACCAAAAAATGCAGATGAGCTGAAGGCCACTGTCAAAGAAACCTGGGCTTCCATACCACCTCAGCAGTGCCACAAACTGATCACCTCCATGCCACGCCCAATTGAGGCAGTAATTAAAGCAAAAGGAGCCCCTACCAAGTATTGAGTACATGTACAGTAAATGAACATACTTTCCAGAAGGCCAACAATTCACTAAAAATGTTTTTTTATTGGTCTTATGAAGTATTCTAATTTGTTGAGATAGTGAATTGGTGGGTTTTTGTTAAATGTGAGCCAAAATCATCACAATTAAAAGAACCAAAGACGACTTAAACTACTTAAGTCTGTGGGCATTGAATTTAATACATGCGTTTCACGATTTGAGTTGAATTACTGAAATAAATGAACTTTTCCATGACATTCTAATTTATTGAGATGCACCTGTAGTCTGTGATGGGTGGCTACCGGGATGTGAAAGTAAGCGTCTTTCACATCCAGGGAAAATAACCAGTCCCCTGGGCGTATTTGCGAGAGGATCTGTTTCAGAGTAGTCATTCTGAATGGCCGAGATCGAGGATGGGCTGGAGACCGCCATCCTTTTTTGGGGACGAAGAAGTAACGGCTGTAGATGCCTGACTTGCTCTGAGCTGGTGGAACCATTTCTAAGGATCCTTTTGCCAGTAAATTCATTCAAGACGTGAT